CATTATACCAATTTTTCAATCCCAGGGCTGCAAATGTCCCAGTGTATTGCTTTTCAATTCCAAAGAAAGAACTTGGAGGACTCAGCAGAAAAGATTTGGACATTTTATTAAGTACCCATTCATTGGTGGTAGTGGGCCAGGATATCATTTGTGGAAGTGAGGGATAGGCAAGCAAGGTAGTATAGAGGGACAGAGGGAATTGAGATATGCTGGCCTAATGACAATTTGTGTGTGTGTGTATGTGTGTGTGTTGTGGTGGGGGTTGAATCCAGGGGTGCTCTATCATTGAGATACACTCCCATTCCTTTTTATTTAACTTTAAATTTTTTAAATTCCCCAGAGTTCCTCTTTTATTTTTAAACTTTAGTTATTTTTTTATGTGGTGCTGAGGATCAAACCCAGTGCCTCACAGGTACTAGGCAAGAACTCTACACTGAGCCACAACCCCAGCCCCTTAATTTTGTTTTTGAGACAGGGTCTTGTTAAGTTGCACAGGCTAGTCTCAAACTTGCAATCCTCCTGCCTCAGCCTTCTGAGGGCCTGTAATTACAGGCATGTTCCACCACACCTGGCCCCAATGACAATCTTAACTGACTTCATGGGTTGCTCTGGAGCTAACTTGGGCCAGAAAAGCCAGACCTTCATGCCCCAGCGTTGATTATGCAATGTTGGGTGTGGGCCCACCTGGAAAAGGACATGACCTTGGATGAAGCAGCTGTAAGCAGATCCCTGGAAGATGTGACAGCTGATTATTCTGACAACACTCCTAACAGCATATCTCAGGTGTGGTGGCCACAGACCTTCATTGAGGAAGGGTTTGGGAAATGTGTCCCCACGTCCATCACACAAAGGAAAGTAGAATCAATCCATCCTGGTGGCAAAGCCTCAGACTCAGAATGAAGCACTGAAAAATGTCTGAGTTATTTTGGTATTTTATAAATGCAATTATATTTTCTGTGTCATCTTGTTAGGGCAAATAAAGTCTTCTTGAAAGCCTTTAGAGGGAACCTAATGATAATTTTCTATTTTTATTATTTGAAATTCTACTATAAGAAAGAGCAAAGCTTTCTCCCAGATTTATTTATTCTATTATTCATATCGTTATACAATCAGCTTTTATTTTAGTCTATGGGTTATAATCTAATACTGCCAATATTTTCTCACCTAACTGGTTCTAGCTTTGGCCTTTAGGAGATCCTTTGAGTTGGCTCCTGTGTGAGAAAGTCATGTCCTTTTTGAGTTCTTTCATACTTTATGGAATCATGTAATGTTCCACACCTCGTCTTTTTCCCTGTTCCAGCTTGAGAATCAATTATTTCCCCAAGGGAACCTGGTTTCTTTTTAAAAAGAACAATGTTAGAAATTAAGATCTGGAAACTGGAGACTTGTTGGTACTTGGGAAGATTTTCTTAAAATATCACTATGTTACCATTATTACTCCTAAAAATATTAGCAATTCCTGAATATATCCTAAAGTCTGGTCAATGGTAAAATTGTCTCAATTGTTTCAATGTCTTTTTAGAGTTGATTTATTCAAATTAGGATCCAAACAAGGTTCAGTTTTTCTTTTAGTTGGTTTCTATTTTAGTCAGTTTTTCATTGCTGTGAACAAAAACAAAACAGAACAAAACAAACAAACAAAAAAACTGAAAAAAACAACATAGAAGAGAAAAAGTTTATTTTGACTCACAGTTTCAGAGGTTTAATCCATGGTTGGCTGATTCCATAGCTCTGGGCCCAAAGTGAGACAGAACATCATGGCAGGAAGGTATGGTAAAGGAAAGCAGGTCTGGACATGGCAACCAGGAGCAGAGAGAGAGCTCTGTTCACCAGGGACCAAATATAAACCCTAAAGTTACACCCCCAGTGACCTTCCTCCTTCAGCCACATCCTACTTGCTTACAGTTAACTGCCCAGTTAATCTATATCAATGGATTAATCCACTATGTTAAGACTCTCATAACCCAATCATTTTTACCTCTGAAAATTCTAGCATCATATCATATGTGAGCATTTGGAGGATACCTCATATCTAAATCATAACATTTAAAATTTTAATTTATAACAGTCCCCTCCTTTTTCCCTTGTCGTTTGTTGAGAAACAATGTCATTTTTCCTGTAGAAATTACCAGGTGGTAGATCTGATTACTTGCATCAGGATGGCGTCATTTGTTTTTCACTCAATTCATTGATTTTTTTGGCAAGAAGATTTCAGAGGAGGTTGTGTAATTTTTACTGTCATACATTATCTTCTTGCCTTGCATTGTGATGTTATAATTATTCAATGTGTCCTGGTGTTTTTGACCTGATCTATTATAAAATTTTGTACCAAACTTTTCATCTACTGGTGTTAACATCCACTGATAATTATTATCTAGATTCATTATTTCATTAGAGGCTGCAAAGTGAAGGCGTTCTATCATTCTTTTGGCACTCATCAGTTGTGTGTTTTATAAATAAAAAACTTTCCCTATCAACTGAAATATGGTTTGTATAAGAAAGGGCTTGGAATAAACGCTCGATTCTTTCCTTAGCAACCTTTGAGGTGACCAGAGACTTTATTCTCCATGTCAAGATGAACTCATGAAATTTAACATTTAATATTATCCAGTCATCCTTTTAGATGCTCAATTTTTTCAGTATTTAGCCAGTGGGATCACTTTCAGGTTGACTCTTGTGAAATGATCTCAGTAGCAGTTTATGGCTTCTTTGCTTTCTGGCAAGACAAAAGGTAGGTTAATCTAGTGCATTTTCGTCCCCAAATCTGAACCAGCCATTTCTCCCAATGGAATCCCAGTTCCTTTTATGTGGAAATAGTATTTTGGAGCTCAATGGTACTGACTGGGATGGTCTCTGATTCTAGTGCCCCCCACCCCACCCCTTTTAAAAGAAAAACACATCAGATTGGCTCTTGTGTTCTTTTGAGAAAACCCCACCCTTTTGTGAGTTCTTTATGGCACCAGAGGAAATCCCAGGCACATCCTGTATTTTCTCTGCATCATGAATTCAAACTTACAGAGGTTTAAAATTTTGACATCCTCTAAGTTAGCAGTCTATCCCTTTTTTTAGCATTTGCCATTATGTTTTTCTTGGCTCCAACTAAAACTGACCTTGGAGGGGTCTTTTTCATCTTAGGGGAGGGTGTCCTTAGTTTCCATGACTGAAACAAGAGAATCAACTTAGTGTTCCATGTCAAATACAAGTATGCAAATGTATTTATACAGACACGTATATATTGTATTATTGTGTCTTTTTACATGTATTTTTTGCAAGGAGTGCCCAACGCTTTGGTCCCCCGTCCTTGTTGCAGTTCCCGCTGAAGCCTGGAACCTTTGCTCCACTTTCAGGCTGTCCGGGGAAGTTTTAAGCGGTGAGACCTCCCAAATGTCCAACCAATAGACACCAGCGTGGGAACGCTGGACTGAAGGGAGGAGGGACGACCGAGACTGCGCGGTGAGTGGGTGGAGAAGAGGGGCGTGGCCGAGGCTGGGGCCGCCCCGCGGGGGCTGATGCCAACTGCCAGTCCAACCGCCAGAGGCTGGCTGGGTCCTGCGGCGGCTAGCTCCGCGGAGCGTCTTTCAGTCCTGGGTCTGTGTGTGTCTCCGGTGTCCTCTTTCCGGTCAGCACCTCACTCTTCGCTTCTCGGGGTTCGTCTCCAGGTTTTCACTTTCTCCTTCTCTTTCACCGTCTCCCCATCCCTGGTGCCAGCCATTCTCCCGGGCTTCGGTGTCCAGACCTGAGGACCTGCCCTGCGCCCCATGGAAGAGCCCCTCGCTCCCACCTCAGCCTCCAAAGCCATCGAGGAGCCTGGGTCCCGCGCAGGTGAGCGAGGTTGGGAGACAGGAAAGCCACCCCATCCCGCAGGAAAATGGGGCCCTGTCACTGTAGGGTCAGATGCCAAGGCACCATCTGCGCTTTGGAAATCCAGCCTTTGGGAAATGTTGGGTTAGAGCCATGCGGTTGGCTAGGACCTGACAATCAGAGAGCAATCTTGGCTATTTTTGTTTTCTTCCCACTGAAGCCAAACTTCAACCTTAGATGAGCTTTGTGGAGATGAAGGAGAACTGAGACAAGGAAAATCCCTCTTACTACAGAGGTATCTGTGGGCGGCACAAACAGTTGTGAGCTGGAATTTAGGAGATCTGGAGCTTGGTCCATGTTTTGCTACTGAGTGTCCTTATATAAGCTCCCCCCACCCCCAAAGCCAGGTCAGACTTTATTGTTGTTCCTCACTGTACTATTTCTAGGTAAAAGAGCAGGGAGCATTTCATAGGAAGAGGATTCTATGGCAGACATTAATTTGAATTCTTTGCTAAAATGAACAGTTCCAAAGCATTCCTGTGTCAGATTCTTCTCCATCCTTAGTTCCAAGCACATTGTATGAAATACTTTAGATGTCCATGCCAGAGTCACTATCTGTATTAACACTGCTAACGTGATCAATATAATAATAAATAAAAAAATTATTGATAATAACTAATTGTTATAGTGATAGACCCACAAATGAAATTGTAAAGATATCTAAATTTGTAGTAAGACTTCTATTTGTATAGTGCTTTAAAGTTTGAAAGTCACTTTTGAGTGGTTCTTTATATGGGTTGTCTTAAGTAGGTACTATCCACGTTTTACAAACAAGGAATCTAAGGCCTAGAGAGATTGAGTAACCAGCACTAGGTCACAGTACCAAGTGGAGGTGGGACATGAATGCAGGCAGACGACAAATGCTTTTCCTTTGGTCATCTCTCCACTTCCTCTCCCTTTCCTTTTCCTAGTTCTTCTATCACACTCCATGTCATCCAGTGCTTCATTTTTATCACCTTGAGAAATCCTTTTTAGATGTTAATAGTCATGTTAGCTAAATGATTAATACTTAGATATAACTCATTATTAAAGAATTAACTTCTACGAGTTTGAAGTATCTCTCCCAGAGATGAAGAAGGATTTAAATGCTCTTAAGAAGAGGAATTATAATTGTTGTTATTGCAGTGATGCATCATGGAATGATGGCAATACCTACGAAGGAATGCATCATTAGGCAGTTTTGTTCTGTAAACATCATGACTATATATACACAAACCTAGATGGAATAGCAGTAGGCTATATGGTACCTATATTTGAATGACCTATATGGGATATGGAGATAGATACACACACACACACACACACACACACACACACACAGTAGCCTATTGTTCCTAGAGCTATGATGAACAAAACATGAGATTAAATCAAATATAAAAGAAAATGGTATAAATCAGAAGACTCAGTAAACATGAGATTTGTGAGACTGCTGACAGGTAACATGGATTCTGAAGCAAAGAGAAGCATAGAAATTAAGTAACATGCCCAAGGGTATGTAGTCCTCTTGGTTCAAATAGTTTTTTAACCATTACACCAGCTTGGCTCAGGGATAGATGTGTACTTAGAAGAAAGCTTGACCCTCCCTGGCAGGAGGGCCTGAACTGGGGGAGAGAGGTACATAAAGAAGACACTGTACCTTGGCCTGTTTTTTTTTTATACTGTTGAAAGCCCAAGATTGGAGGGGGGGTGTAGGTTTTCTTTTGACTCAATGAGGCCATCTCCCCTACTCCCATACTCCCATGATAGTGATCCATAGTTCCTAAGTTAAAATCAAGTGACTAAATGAATCATTCATGCACTATTGGAAATTTTTCCTAATTGACTAAAGGACTGTAGCTAAAATCAGTACTACTTTGTCTTACAGTTCATTGCTCAGAAAGCTGCCTGAGAGATTGGTTTAAAATAATCACACCATTCCTTTGCCAAAAGCTCTAGAGTGGCTCCCTATCTATGGGATAAATACCTTAATAGGTATCAGAGCCTCCCAGGATCAGGAGTCTGCTGACCTCTTCAGCCCCATCACTGCTCATAGCATTTGCATTCTGTCTTTATATCCTACTGTACTATTGAAAGTCTCTTTGCTGTTTTCTGTTGCCTATAGGCTTTTCAGGTCCACTCGCTCTGCCCTTCTCCTTCTCTTCTAACATCCACTTAACTCATTTGTTCATTCAACATATATTTGAGTTCCTATAATGTACCAGGGCTGGTTCTAGGTATGAAGGTATAACAGTGAATAAAATAGATATATCCTTGCTCTTTTTGGATCTTTTCTTCTGTAGTATGTACTGAACAAGTGTAATATATGAGCTATCAGAGGGTAAGAAATGGAGAAAAGAGAGACTGTGGAACCAACCCAGATGCCCTTCAATAGATGAATGGATAAAAAAAATGTGGCATCTATACACAATGGAGTACTATGCAGCAATAAAAAATGACAAAATCATAGAATTTGCAGGGAAATGGATGGCACTAGAGCAGATTATGCTTAGTGAAGCTAGTCAATCCCTAAAAAACAAATACCAAATGTCTTCTTTGATATAATGAGAGCAACTATGAACAGAGCAGGGAGGAAGAGCAGGAAGAAAAGACTAACATTAAACAGAGACTTGAGATGGGAGGGAAAGGGAGAGAAAAGGGAAATTGCATGGAAATGAAGGGAGACCCTCATTGCTATACAAAATTACATATAAGAAGTTGTGAGGGGAATGGGAAAATAAACAAGGAGAGTAATGAATTACAGTAGATGGGGTAGAGAGAGAAGATGGGAGGGGAGGGGAGGGGGGATAGTAGGGGATAGGAAAGGTAGCAGAATACAACAATTACTAATTGGGCATTATGTAAAATTGTGGATGTGTAACCGACATGATTCTGCAATCTGCATTTGGGGTAAAATTGGGAGTTCATAACCCACTTCAATCTAATGTATGAAATATGATATGTCAAGAGCTTTGTAATGTTGTGAACAACCAATAAAAAAACTGAAAAAAAAAAAAGAAATGGAGAAAAGAGCAGGAAAAAGGGACAGAGAAGACAAGGAAGTTGTCAGGGAAGTCCTCACTGGTTGGATGATGTTTAAATAGAGCTGAAGAAGATAAGAGAATGAGCTCTGTGGCTATCAGAAAAAGAGCTCCAGGCAGAGCATGTTAACTATATGAGGCAGGAGGTTACTTGGCCCACACTGTTGGGTGTACACCCTCTGATAGGGTGAACTAGGGAAAAATCTCCAGTCTTCTTTGATGACAAAGATTGCCATTTACCTCTTAAATACAGTTGAAAATCAATATGGAGATTCCTCAAAAGACTAGGAATAGAACCACTGTGTGACCCAGCTTTACCTCTCTTTGGTGTTTATTCAAAGAATTAAAGTCAGCATATTATAGAGATACATGCATACATATGTTTATAGCAACACAATTCACAATTGGAATCAGCCTAGGTATCTGTCAACAGATGGACAAAGAAAATGAGGTATATGTACCAAATGAAGTTCTATTCAGCCATAAAGAAAAACAAATTATGTCATTCACAGAAAAATGGATGGAGCTGGAGAGCATCTTGTTAAGTGAAATAAACCAGACTCAAAGTCAAAGATTGTATTGTTACTGGCAGCCAAACCAAGGTAACCGCCTGGATCCCTGTTGGCCACCTGCCTGCATAAGAAATAGGCAATGGATGTACAAACAAAAATTAATTTTATGCAGTTTGATCAAAATGGGGAAAATCAGCTAGAATGTTGCTCTCTGGATTCTACAGCTAACGAGGTAAATCCACTACAGAAATGAATACAATTTATAGAAACAAAAGCTAAGTGATTGGCTTATTTTGCTTGGCAAGATATTCTCCACCTCTAAGCATTTACTTGCAGATGCCATAATTTCACTCTTCTTTAAAGCTGAGTAATATTACATTGAGTATGTATACCACATTTTCTTTATTTATTCATCTATTGAGGCACACCTAGATTGGTTCCATAGTCTAGCTATTGTGAATTAAGCTGCTATAAACATTGATGTGGCTGTGTCACTATAGTATGCTGATTTTAAGTCCTTTGAGTATAAACCAAGAAGTGGGATAGCTGAGTCAAATGGTGGTTCCATTACAAGTTTTCTGAGGAATCTACATACTGCTTTCCATAGTGGTTACACCAATTTGCAGTCCCACCAGCAATGTATGAGTGTACCTTTTTCACCACATCCTTGCCAACATTTATTGTTGCCTGTATTCTTGATGATTGCCATTCTGACAAGAGTGAGATGAAATCTTAGAGTAGTTTTGATTTGCATTTCTCTAATTGTTAGAGATGTTTAACACTTTTTCATATATTTCTTGACCAATTGTATTTCTTCTTCTGTGAAGTGTCTGTTCAATTCCTAAGCCCATTTATTGATTGGGTTATTTATTTTTTTTTGGTGTAAAGTTTTTTGAGTTCTTTATATATCCTAGAGATTAATGTTTTATTGGAGGTGCATGTGGTAAAGATTTTCTCCCAGTCTGTAGGCTCTCTAACCAAAGGCTGAATGTTTTCTCCAGTATGCGGATGCTAATTCACATGGGGATAGGAAAGATAATAGAATGAAACAGACATTATTACTGTATGTATATATGTGACTACATGACCAATATGAGTCTGTAACATATACACTCAAAAAAATGAAATTATATCCCATCTATGTATGATATATCAAAGTGTATAAACTCATTCTGCTGTCATGTATAACTAAATAAAACAAATTAAAGAATAAAAGCTAAGTGATATGCATATGTAGATTTTAGCTAGTCTATGCTTAGCTAGATATTTATCAGTTTTCTTGGCCTCTGTTCTTTGTATGAGGAAGTTTTTATCCTCAGCATGAAGAAATTCAGAAGCTCTCTGTTTTAATATGTTGTCTCTCATATGTGGGAGCTAGAGAAAGAAAAGGAAAAAATGGATCTTGTGAAAATAGAAGGTATATCTATAAAGGACAAATTAAAAAAAGAAAAATTAAAAAAAGAAAAAAAGAAGAGAGACCAATAGGGTTGAAGAATGGAATTGGGAAGAAGGAGGTTAGAGTAAGGGGAGGTATGAGGGAAGGAAACTGATCAAATTATGTGCATACATGAATATGTCACAGTGCATCCTGCTATTATATATAATTACAATGTGCCAATAAAAAATGAGAAGAAAAAAAAAGGGAAGAGAAGATTGCCTTTTATCTTAGGCTCCAGTACAGGGAGAAAGTTTCTCAGTAGAATTATTAATCACAGACATTCACTCAAATGGATTTGGGTTTATATTTATGTTACCCAATACTCTAGAAACCCTGCACCAAGAAATTGACATTTAAAACCATCTCAGGCTGTTAAGACCCCTGGATTCTGAGCAGAACAAATGCAGAATGTCTCTGGGGAGAGACACTCTTGACATAGGCTACATAGGATTCCTACAGAGTTTTGAGAACAGAAACGTCAGAGCAAGCATATTGCTTATTTTCAGTTCATCTGTGTGAATGAAAGAAAACTTGCATATAGGCCAGCATCTATATATGGACACACACATTGAGCTGCTTCCTGTCCTTACAGAGATCATGGAAGAAGTGACATCATCCTCCTTCAACAATCCTCTGTTCCAGCAGGAAGACAAGAAAGGGATTACCTACCGGATCCCGGCCCTGCTCTATGTGCCCCCCACCTGCACGTTCCTGGCCTTTGCAGAGAGGCGTTCAACAAGCAGGGATGTGGATGCACTCTACCTGGTGCTGAGGCGAGGGTTGAGGACTGGGCACTCAGTACAGGTGACTCATCCCAGATCTAGGCCTGGGCCTTATTTTCTCTCCACAGATCTCAGTGCACTTTGGGATTTGTGCCTTTTCCCATCAATGCTAGAAAAACCCTGTGTGGGGAGCTGAGGAGGGAGAAACAGTAAAAATAGTGTCTCTCAACTGAGTGCTTTTTGTGTGCCAGGGACACATTTGATCTTCACAGCTATTCTGTGTCCTAGGTACTGTTGTCAGTCATGGTTTACCTATAAGGAAAGTGAGCCTCAGAGAGGTTGCCTTTTGCTGAAGGCCAAGCAGCTATAATACAGTGGTAGGAGGAGGCTTCAAAGTGAGTCTCAACTCCAGAGGCCTCCATGGCTCATTCAGATTCAGCTAACATATGGTGAGCTTTTCATTTCTATTTCCAGTAATTTGTATAAATCACCCAAGGAAATAAACAGTATTAGTCCAATTTTGCTATTCCCTAAAATAAGTGACTTAAACTTGAGACCACAGTTAGTAAATAGACCACAGCCATATTATTACTTTTACTAAATGCTTAATGTGAGGTATGTATTATTCTTCTCATTTCATTGGAGGAAACTGGGCCTAAGAATTAAAGCAACTTGCTTTGGGCACACATGTAATAAGTGGTATAATTGAAGCTGGAACCCTTGCCCTTAAGTAGCACATTTTTACCAAAAATATAGGGAATAAAGAATAATTGCTGCTCTTTGGCATGGAAGCTCCAAAGTTATTTCAGACCCCATATTTCTTCTTGTTGCCTTCCTTACTCCCAGAGTGGCTGAAGTGAGGATCAGAGGAGATAATGGCTTTGAGAGTCTTGTTTAAAAAAATGTATGACTGTGTCTCTGCCCATAATAGGTACTTTAATCTCCCTAACATACCCTACTTTTCTACCTACAGATATCTGAAATCTTACCATTAAACCTTCAGATTTATAGCAGATATCTTCTTCTGTTACGGTGCAAATGTTATTGTGTTTAAAATGGGCCTTGCCAACAACCATATTCTTGCTTTTGGTGTCATTGGCTCAAACTTCCAATCCCTGAAATCTTGAGTTGTCTTCATGGCTCCCCAGGATAAGGCTCCTTTCTTGAATAACTGGCCTCCAAAGAGGCCTACTTCTGCATCCCAGCGGAATGTGGATATCTAGCTATTTAATTTTCTTTCGGACAGCCATGACCTGTGGTGATGTTGTCTGCTTTCTTATCAAAGCCAGAGAACTGTTAAGCATTTTTTTGTAATCAAACCATATCTGTTATATAACCTCACTGCACAGTAGTCAAATATATTCACAAAATTTGTCCATTTTAACTCTTCTCTCTTATTTTATTTACTTTCATCTTCTGTTTTACTTAACCAAAGAGTCTTGAAGTTAGAAAAATCATTATCTCAATGTCTTTTCCAATCTGGAAATATGTATTCCACTGATAACTATAATAGCTTAGTGGGTTAAGTTGTTTCTTTGGAGTCAGTAAAGACCTACATTTATTGGCTCTCTGACCTTAAATACTTCACTCTTAGCTGTCTGCTTGCATAACTCTTCAAATGAGGACTCTAATCCTGTGACAACTTAAATTTTCTTTTAAATGAGGTAATCTCTTCTATAATTATTCATCAATCTTGTTCTGCCTTCTAGAGCGGTCAGTATCTATACATAATATAGATAAAGTCCCTTTGGCAGAGAGCTTACTCTTTGAAGTACCTGGAAGCTGTGTTCATGCCCTTTGAGTCTTCTGTTTTCTGAGATAAGCAGCTTTATTTCTTTTAGTGGCTCTTTAGGCAGTGGTCCTAGTTTGATTTCTAATCTCTTACTGACTTTGGGATCTGGTCTGAGATGTCAGTGTCTTTTTTTAAAAGTGTAGTATTCAGAATTGAAGTTAAACTTCAAGTATAGACTGGTCAGCTCAGCAATGAGGTAGACTATTTACCTCATATCTGTCTTACCTTGAATCCTTTAATGCAGCCTAAGGTAAAATTGCATCTACTGTTTTGGCAGCTGCATGACACAGTTGACTAATATTGAATAGATGGTCAGCTGAAACTTCTTAAGTCTTTTTCTTTCCTTTTTTTCATTTTTTAATTGTGGTAAGAGATATCTAATATAAAACTTACATCTTAACCATTTTAGTGTTAATTTTATTTACACTGTACAGCTAATCTCTAGAACTTTTTTTATCTTTTGAAACTGAGACTCTGTATCTATTAAACACTCCCCATTTCTCCTTCTCCCCAGCCACTGGCAACCACTACTGTACTTTCTATTTCTAAAAATTAGGCTACTAAAAATACCCCCACATAAGTGGAATCATACAATGTTCATTTTTTGTGTGTGATGACTTATTTCATTTAGTATAATAATATCCTCAGAGTTCATCCATGTCAGAATTTTCTTTGTATTTAAGGCTGAATAAAATACCATTGTAGTATAATTTTGCTTATCCATTCATTTGTTGAAGGACATTGAGTTGTTTCCACCTATTGGCTGTTATAAATAACATTACATTGAGTAAGGGTGTGCAGATAGCTCTTTGAGACTCTTTTTTTTTTGCGGGGGGGTGATATATTTCCATAAGGGAATTGCTAGAACATAAAATAATTCTATATTTAATTTTCTGAGGAAGTAACTACTGTTTTTCATATTGGCCACAATATTTTATATTCCCACCAATGGTGTAAAAGTGTTTTGGTTTCTTCACACCCTTGCCCAAACTTATTTTTTTTATAGTAGCCATTCTTATGGGTGTGAGATGAGATCTTATTGGTTTTTTTGTTGTTATTGTTTGTTTGTGTCAGGGCCTTGTGCTTTCTAGGCAAATGCTTTACCACTATGCCACAACCCCATAGTGTGGATGTAATTTGTTTCCCTAATGGTTAGTGATGTGAGCATCTTTTTTCCCCCACTTTTTATTGGTACATTATAGTTGTATGTAATGAGGTACACAATATAATTTGGCCAATGTCATTCCCCAATATTCCCCCTTTTCCATCCCTCCTCCCTCCCCATCCCTTTCTTCCCTTCTATTCTTCCTTCAATTTTTATAGGTTCCCCCCATCTTTCTTTTCCTTTTTCCATTTTTTCCAGTAAGTATCTTTTTATATGCTTTTTTAGCCTTTACAGCTATTCTTTTTTTTAAATAGAGAGAATTTTTTTTAATATTTATTTTTTAGTTTTCGGCGGACACAACGTCTTTGTTTGTATGTGGTGCTGAGGATCGAATCCGGGCCGAACGCATGCCAGGCGAGCGCGCTACCGCTTGAGCCACATCCCCAGACCCTATATCTATTCTTTAATCAAGTTTCTTATCCCAGTCCTTGAGCTCACAACCTGTTTTATCTGTCAAGCCTTAGCTTGTTTGTTATGTCTTCATTGCTCCAGTTGTTTAGATCATTTTGGATTCTAAAGTTTCAGTGCTTTGTTTCTACTTTTGTATCAACTGTGCATTAGACATATCTGGCCCAAATCGTTTTCTTTTCTTAGCCAACAAGGATGACTGAGCTTCTTTGACTCCCCAGCTACTCGATGATTAAGTTGACTTTATCCCTTACCTTTGAGTTGGTTAGAGTGTGCAAGGTATTCTGAATACAGAAGGGGCTGCCCAAGAATCCTGAGTTTTCTGTCTCTAACCTAGTTCAAGGAAGGGTTTTTAATCCAGGAGTCTTAGAGTAGATCCCTCTGCAGGATGGGAGTAGCACTAGAAAACTCTTATGGTCCAGTATGACTGAGATTCTGAGCTGAACTTTGCCCATTCATGCAGAAATTAAATTTTTTGAAAATTTATTTTTTGTCTTGGATAGTTAATGATTACACACATGAGTGTGCCTGTTTCTTCATATTCTTACCAATAGAATATTATCAAACTGAATGGTTTTTGCCATATGATTTTGTGATATGAAAATATTGTGACAGTTTAATTTTAATTTATATTTCTTTTTTGTGTGTGAACTTGATCATTCTTTAGTTTTTTCCCTCTTTCTTTCAGTTGTATTATCTTGTCCTTAGCCCATTTTTATTAGGGTTCCGAAAAATTTCCTACAAACTTCTAGTATTATTTTTTAAATATATTAAGGAGATTAGGCCTTTCTTTGTGATATGTCTGATTAGGCATTATCTCATTGTATCCTTATAATACTCCTCTGCATAGATGTTTTTAAATTCTTCATTTAGTTGGTAAAAACATTGAGGGAAAATAAGACTGAGCAGCTCACCCAATGTCTCACAGTGGCAATGCAAGCAGGGTTAGAATGAGATATCTCTGATTTTGTGCTTGAGCTTTTAATAAAGCTGTTGTGAATTGCCTCCCCAGGGTAGCACAGGAAGGAAAAAAAAATTTTTGTCTTAAATTTCCCTATATTCACCTAAAATTTCTCTGTTTTCCTGCCTGGCCTTGCTTTGCTTTCTTTCTTTTCTTCTTCCTTCTTTCCTTCCTTCCTTTCTTATTTACTTCTATTATTTTTTAATTATAGATTTTTTATGTTAGAGTATATTTTTTTCAAATATATTTAATTTATTTATTTTTATGTGGTGCTGAGGATCGAACCCAGTGCCTCACATATGTGAAGCAAGCGCTCTACTGCTAAGCTATAACCCCAGCCCCCTTATTTATTTATTTATTTGTTTGTTTGTTTATTTATGGTACTGAGGATTTAACCCAGGAACTCTACCATTGAGCTATATCCCCAGCCCTTTTATTTATTTATTTTTATTTTGAGATAGAATTTGCTATATTAATTGAGGTTGGCCTCAAACCTGGGATCCTACTGCTCAACCTCCCAGGTAGCTAGGATTATAGGTGTGTGCCACTACACTTAGCCTTGCTTTTCTTCCTTTTCTCTTTTTTCCTTCCTTTTCTTTTTCTCTCCCCTCTTCTTTCCTTCTCTTTGCAATTCTCCTTCCTTTTTTGCCTGTCTTTTTTGTAAAATTTTATTTAGTTACTGCCATGTGCCAGGCACTAGACTTAACAAAATTAGTACAATTTGGATTCTACCCTCCCATGTCTCATAATCTAGGCAGGGAGACAGTTACAAAAAAATTTGCAACGTTTTATAATTTCTGTAACTTACAGGGAATGCTTCACAAAGGAGGTGACTTTTGAGTTGGGTATTAGAGGATGATTTGGAAGTCCAGAGAAAGCAAGGAACAGCATTTCAGACAGAAGGGACCACATTTATGATATCTAGCCATGTCTTTTTCCAACTTTATAGGTCATCCTACAATACTTGAGAATTTGAGGACTGCTTGGGCCTTTAGAATTTTGTAGATTTTAGGGCTGGGGATGTGCTCAGTGGTAGAGCATTTTCCTGGCATGCATGAGACTATGAATTCAATGTTTGGTACTACAAAAAAAGAATAATTTTGTATATTTCAATATTATTTATTTTTCTGTTTATGAAAAGTACCAATGCTTTTAATGAGCCTCATATCTTACATTAGCATTTTACTCCCCCTGTCTCTCCTTTCCTCTTGACTAGTGGGGACCCCTGAAGCCACTGGTGGAAGCCAGTTTACCTGGGCATCGGACCATGAACCCTTGTCCTGTGTGGGAGCAAAAGAGTGGCTGTGTGTATCTGTTCTTCATCTGCGTGCGGAACCATGTCACCGAATGTCAACAGATTGCATTAGGCAAGAATGCTGCTCGCCTCTGCTTTGTCTGCAGTCAGGATGCTGGATGCTCGTGGAGTGAGGTGAGGGACTTGACTGAAGATGTCATCGGCTCAGAGTTGAAGCACTGGGCCACATTTGCTGTGGGCCCAGGGCATGGCATCCAGCTGCAATCAGGGAGGCTGGTCATCCCTGCATATGCCTACTATTTCCCTTATCGGTACCTTTGCTTCACACTACCATGTAAAACAAAGCCTCATTCCCTGATGATCTATAGTGATGACTTCGGGGTGACATGGCATCATGGTAAGCTCATTAGACCTTTGGTGACAGTGGAGTGCCAAGTGGCAGAGGTGACCAGGAAGGCTGCTCATCCTGTGCTCTATTGCAGTTCCCGGACACCAAACAGGTACCGAGCAGAGGCTCTCAGCACTGATCATGGTGAAAGTTTTCAGAAACAGACTCTGAGCCCACAGCTCTGTGAGCCCCCACATGGCTGCCAAGGCAGTGTAGTGAGTTTTCGGCCCCTGGAGAACACACGTAGATGCCAGCACACAGGTGGCAAAGATGCTCCTACCATTCAGGAGAGCCCTCTGCTGGACAATTCACTGAGGCTGGAGGAAGGAGCTGGAACAGCATCAGAAACATGGCTCTTATACTCACACCCAACTAGTAAGAAACGAAGAGTTGACCTGGGCATCTACCTCAACCAGAACCCCTTGGAGATTGCCCACTGGTCTCACCCTTGGATCTTGCACTGTGGGCCCTGTGGCTACTCTGATCTGGCTGCTGTGGAGGAGGAGGGCTTATTTGGATGTTTGTTTGAGTGTGGGACCGAGTGTGAGTGTGAGCAAATAGCCTTCCGTCTGTTTTCAGAACAAGAGATCCTGAGCTGCATATAGGGGATCTGCACCATTCCTGATAGGAACCTGAGCCAATTCAAGACAAATAATTTACTGACTTTTCCATAGAAGAGAATGGCAGCCACAGCCAGGATAATAGAGGTTACTGAGGTATACAGAGAATCAAACCCTTAATATTCTACTCTCGACCTTTTTTTCATTTCTCCTCCAAAGAGCAAAATGAAAAATTTTCCATAGCTCCTTCAGTCAAAGATCACTGAATTGGCCGGATTTAGAACACTGGACTTGTTACCTGAACTTCCTGGGCCTCAAGTGTCCATCTGTAAAATGAGAGAATTGAATCTGTGATCTCTTGTCTTCCCATTACTAGGAGAAGCAGAGAACCTATATGTTCCATGATTAGCAAGTCCTGGCTTCATAAGGATTCTGCTCAGAATGGGCGTCAGAGTACTTTCTTTTCAAATGACTCTTCCCTAATAATCCTTTAAGGTTACACACAGGGGTCGAGGCAAGAAGAAAGACCTGGATTTGTTTTTCATATTTAATAACAAAACACCCTTACCCTTCTAATCATGCTCCAAGCTTTGCAGGCTGTCCATCCTAGAGGAATTGAGCAAGACAGCAGAATCATGAGGTCGCCTACTTTCTCCAGCTTTGCAGCTCTGCTCAACCTTCCCTTCTTTATCCAGAAAACATTTCCTGGGAGAAAAATGAGAAACCATCAGCCCTTGATGATGGTGCTTTCTGCTTCTGATATCATTATCTTGATGAAAATGAGCCTGATGTTCATTTTCCCATCAGAGTGATTCCTGTCAGGAAAAGGACATGTGTTTAGGATATTAGAACACTGGACAAACCAGGCATGTTGGTATACATCTACAGTCCCAGCTACTCAGGAGGCTGAGACAGGAGAATCCCTTGAACTCAGGAGTTCAAGGCCAATTTGAGCAATATAGAGAGACCATGTCTCTAAAAACAAAACAAAAAAATGGACAAAACTTCCTATGGTCCCTTTAAGGAGCTCACAGTTTATGGAGCTAGAAAAGGAATTAGATTTGAGAAAAAAAATGCTGATGGTGGATAGTTGGTAGATATTGGGCTCTAAATTGGGATGATGGTAACTCCTGATGTCATTGTTTTAATTGCATCTTCAGTATACCTGGAGTCCTCTGTCCAAGGGCTTGTCCAGGCTGCTGGGTTTTCCCCAGTTGGTTTTTGTGGCACAGCCTCTCCTTTATCATTGAGGAAGGTCCTCACCCATTAGGAAGGTCATGGGCTGTAAACCTCTAAATCAGGCCTATTTGTTGGGACCTATTGGAATCACTACTTTTGAAGTGGGGATGACTCTCCATCTAAGACTTTTGGGGCTGAATTTACTTAGTCAGTCATGGGTATCTCACATGATATTCCAATAGTTGCTTCTATCTTAGATTGTTTCCCTAATAGGCTGTTATTATGACAGAAATTTTAACATTAGATTTATTTTTTGTCTCTTTCTCTCTATTTAAGGAGGATAGTGCCTTAAACTCAGCTAAATATTTTTTGGTGCTAGGTAATGACCATGAAGAGTAAGCCTAGTTTTGGGATGCAGCCTAGGAGGCTAGAGTTGTAGTTATACAAGGCAGGTAAAGAAATGTCATACTTGAGCATATTACTTAAGACTGTAACTTTGAATGGATTTTAAAAATCCACTTAGCCTTTCATACATTTGCCAAAGTAATCTTCTTAGTACAATTATGATCTTCATCCATTTGTGTGTACATTTATTTAAATATTTCTTGAGTGGCTCTGCATAATGCAAGGTACTTCTGTTGTCATTTCTTGGTTCAAAATCATTTGTGGCTCCCATTGCTTACTAAAGTTTAGACAGCCTGACATGCAGGACCTTCCAGTTTGGGGATAAAAATAATACATTACTACTTCCCTTTATTTCCTTATATGAAGCCCACTATCAGGGAAGACTTTTGTCAAGCTGGCCAAGTGAAGGGCGGCAGGGGCCTAGGGGTGGGCAGAGTTGGTGGTATAGGGAGGAATTGAGGAAGAGGAGAGTTAAAAAAGCATTTCTACCTCCTCCTAAGAGGTAGAAATGCCTTGCTCAGCAAAGCTTTCCTGAGCACTAACCCCAACTAAATAGGAACTGGAAGGATGGCTAATTCTAAACCAGGGATAAAGGAACATCCAAACTTCTTTAGGATTGTCTAAAGGAGTCAAGGAAGGGATCTTGGTCATGTGCCAGCATGGGCCAAAGCTGTGTAATATCAGTATTCATAAGATATCCATCTCTTAATTGCCCCTCACCCTGTACTCCTCCCTTACCTCAAGTTTGTTCTCCTTAATGGCTTAAGGGCTTATGTGCTTACTTAAGGAATGAGGAAATCCAGAATGAGGCCTAGAGTGGGTGATGGCAGCTGTGAAGAAAAAGATCAGCAGATATGAGTCTGTCACCTTTAGGAAGAGAGAGAATGTGGCCCAGTTGTGAAGCCTGGGCTGGAGAGATGGTGTAGGTGGTAGCTGCTGTGAAGAAGAAATGACAAAAGGCTGGGGATATTTCCTGAAACCCATGGGAAGGGAGAAAACCCTGCACAGGCCTGCAGCTTGGCCTGAGAGGAGGGCCAACCCAGCTCTATACCAAGCTAGCTTAACTTGGCCATGCTAAGTGAACAATAAATATAGCTATAGGCACTCCAGTGCTGGTGCCAATCACCCAAGGCCTTCAGGGCCCTGGGACCTACCCTAAGTAAGCCCATTTCAGCCACACTTTGGATGGTAGAGTGGAAAAGATAGGGAAAGTGGTGACAGCTGTGAAGAAAAGAGGAAAGCAGAAGTGTACCTCTTGGGACCAAATTATCCTTTGCCCTCCAAAGCCCACCATCCTGTTCCTTAGAGAATGGATGCATCCAGCACACACGACCCATCACTAGGTGTGCACCCAGATCAACTGCCCACCCATTCAAACTGTTGATCCTACTCATGTTCCTTAACTCCTCAGCTCTTTAATATTTATCTCAGGTCCTTGTTGTTTTGTGCTTTGTTTGTACCTGTTTTTCCTGGTGACCAGTTTCCCCTCAGGTGGCCAAAGATGTTTGTGACTATAGCCAGAGATAAGAAACTTTTCATTTTGCCTGTTGGGTAATCCAAAGGACCAATAGGGGTCAACCCGAGGCTGTAGGATTGATATCTCCACCTGGATCTGGCTGCTCTCTTCCCCAGTAGGCTATAAGTTTCCCTACTGCATTATTAGAAGAGATGTCATGTCATTCATCTCTGTGCTGTCAGAGGCTATACTCTTGAGTTTCTTTTCGATTCTTCCACAGGCTGCTCTGTATATACCTCTCTAGGCCTCTGCTAGGCTGGAGACTTCTGAGATCCAAGTCTGTCTGACTACACTCTGTCCTTTTTACCTTGAAAAAAATATATGTGAAATGACTTATCTATAAATACATACTTTTTCTACTACATTTGGAATTCCTTAAAGTAAGGACTGTTTGATTGCTGTCTTTGTCCTCTGAACCCAGTATAGGGTCTGGAAAAGAGTAGACGGTAGAAAAAGACAGGCTAAGTGAATGAATGAGTCAGCCTTCTGGAACTAACTAAGGAGGCCCAGAGGGAGTTCTGCTACAAGGAGGATATTATGTCTCTCTATAGTTGCACAATATTCAAAACCTGCTGAATGCTCACCTTAAATGAGTGTTCTCTGCCCTGGCCTGCTTCCATGTTAGTCATAGTATTTCCTGGGAATGGGCTTTTCTTTGGCTTGGTCCTGCCAGATGTTCTCCAAATTATAGCCCAAGCCTAAACCCAAGCTATGATTCAGGGTTCTCATTTCACATGTATTTCCCGTCTGTCCCTGATTAGATTTTCTGTAATTGCCACTTTTCTAGAACTCCAAGGAAGATGCTGAAACTCGGCATGTTCTGAGTGGTCTTGGCTTTATGATGCCAAGTACCAAAAATACTCCTTGTATCATAAAACTACCACCACTCTTGGAAGCAAGAAGAGTAAAAAACTTAATTTTGTTGACCACTGTTGTTTGGTTAAGGAAACTGAGATGATGATCACCTACTATCTATTCCCAACTTAAAAAATAAATTTGAGGCAGTTCTTTTCACAGGAACTTTTACTTTTAGAAAACTTTAATAATAACAATCCATTGTGCCTTTACACATTGCCATTTGAACATAGTTGACTGTGAAGAGAAGCAGGGCAGGGGCTTATCATGACTAACTCAATAGCAGGCTATTTAAATAGAGGATTCAGGGTGTACAGGGTCACAATGACCCCAGCTCCAGTGCTCATGACTGCATGTCTTATGTATTTCAAAACACTTTAAAGTTATTATCAAGCTGTAGCTGAAAAGCCCACAAATATTTACCTAAATGTAATGAATGGGCTTTAGTTTTAACTTCTGATGTTAACCCAACTTTCTGTTAGTTCCATTGGGATGCTTATAAGGCACTACTGGATTTGGCTGTATATTTTAGCACAACTTCTTATATTCTGTCAGATCAATCTATTAAATTCACTTTTGAAAAGGCTTCAAATGGGCAAATCTTTTGCCATAATACTGAGAGTCTCATACGATCAAACAAATAAAGTTTGGAGAACTACTAATTTACCTCTTAAAGTAGTTTACAGCAGTTACTTATATGATCATTTACAAATCTGGTGCTCTGTTTTATTTTTACGTGTTTTATTAGATGGCTTAATGTCTGGAGGGCTTTGGGGCGTGAGAGGAATACTCAAGTCTTTAGTATTTAAAGATGTAAACTTTAGTAATGAACATTATTAAACTCATATCAAAATATTAAAACCTTTAAAATATTTATAGAGTAACAAATTTGATTAAAACTGCCTTAAACAAATACCAATTATAAATTAAGTAGACCTGATCCTTCAGTTTTTTGTTTTTTTTTTGATACTGGGGATTGAATTCAGGGGCATTCAACCACTGAGCCACATCCCTAGTCCTATTTTATATTTTAGAGTCAGGGTCTCACTGAATTGTTTAGTGCCTCACCATTGCTGAGGATGGCTTTGAACTTGCAACCATCCTGTCTCAGCTTTTTGAGTTGCTGGGATTACAGGTATGCACCATTGTACCTGGCTTAGAGCTGATCCTTTTTGAAAAGTTCAAGCACTATAAAAATAGATAAAATATAACTAATCCAGTTATCATAAAATATACCCTTATACCAAAATGGAGTACAAGGAGTTGATGCCATGGATTTACTTTTACATTTAGGGAGTTCGAATTTTTAAACCTCCCCAGGTTTTTAGTAACTTTATTAGGGTCTCTCTACTCTCACCTTCCTAGGGATTTAGGAAGTTGCAGTACCATAGAAAAAGAATACTGCCATTTTAGATAAGCTGTCCAGTAGGCACATTGAACTGGTAAGTTGGTGGCCTAGAACCACAGACAAATATCCTTGACCAGTGGAAAAATGCCTGCATGCATTAGAAACAGAATAGAGTCAGGAAGCATCCTGATGCCATCCACTTGGGCCCTTCACTGTTGTGGGAACCAATGACCCCCTGACCTTTATTTTATTTTTTAAGCTACTGTGAGTTGGATATATATAACTTGCAACCCAAAGAATTTAAATATCCATCCTCACTGAAAATTTGATTACTTGGTACCATGACCTGTTAGTCACTACCTGAAGATGAAATATAAGCCATAAGTAATTAGCTGTCAATACAGTCTACTAAAGTTTGACAGTATTATGTAAAAGGTATGTTACCAAGTAAGACATTGAGGTAGACTGCAGAGGACCTTACTTGGAGGAACAAGGAGCTCAGGATCCTTGTTCTAGAATTAGCCACTAACCTGCTGTATGGCTTTGTGTGAGTTACTGGCTCTCACTGGAAAGCAGTTTATTTAACTATAGCATGAGCACATCCATATCCTCCTGCCTCACCAGGGATTGTGTGCACTTGCTAGACCAGTAAATTCTGAAATTTATGTTATATAAACAGAAAGATAAATTGCCTTTATCCGACCTTTGGTCTCCATGACCCTCAGCACTGGCAGCATGTGTTGTTTGAGTGCTAAGAATGATTTACAGAGGAGAGAGGGTGGCGGGGCCCACTGAGGAGGGCACTGAAAGGCAAACTGCAGGCCTGATGGTTTTGACCAACCTGACTTTTCTCCGTATCTTTTGCTTCCTTACTATGAGGAATTACCTAATCTAGGTATGGAAGAGGCCACAAGTAGTCAGAAAGGGACTTGGTCTGCCTCATCTGTCCTGTATGCCTATTAGAAGACCAGCATATTATAGGAAAGAAAGGTGCAAGGAGAATAACATTTGTAAAGTGCCTACTGCATGCTTTGAATTATATATTCTCTTGTTAATTCTTTTAGAGATAGATAGAAATGTATAACACCCAGTAAGTGGAGAAGACAGAACTGATTCCAAACCTCTGTCTTGGTCATTCAGCAAAGAAGAGGCAGAAGTGGGATGATGCTTACTTCACAGGTTGATATGAGGCAGAGTGGTGTTGCCTAAATCCTTGGAGCAAGGTGGGCATTTAGCAGCTGGTAAGAAGCTAAAGGTGATGGTCCCTGGAGCAGTGGGTCTCACTGTGTGCTCAAACCAAAGTCATCTTTTTCTGTTTTATCTAAGAGAAATGTATTTATTTTTCTCCTTGGAAGCCCAGACCTACTGGAATCATATCCCAGTGCCCCCAACCTTTAGAGCAGCTGCCTTTTCAAAATCCCGAGTCATTCTAAACATAGATTTTGTTGTCATCAACTAGGAATAGAACCAGAGATGAGAGCATGGATTCCCTGAAGGGGTAAACATAGAACTTGATAACAGGTGAAGCCGACTTAGTGCCAATGGGAAGCCCAGGGGCCTGCAGGCACTGGGCAGCTCTCTGAGCCACAGTTTGTTTTTTTTTTTTTTTTTTTTTCTTTATGATTTATTTTTTTTTCTGAAAACAATAAAAATTTTAAAAAATATAAATCAAAAAATAGTCATGATTATTTTTTTTTTTTTTTTTTTTTTTTTTTTATTGATTGTTCAAAACATTACAGAGCTCAAGACATATCATCTTTCATACATTCGACTCAATTGAGATTTGAACTCCCCAAATACATAATACAGACTCACTTCTGTTACATACTCACGTTTTTACATAATGGCATATTAGTGACTGTTGTATTCTGCTACCTTTCCTAACCCCTACTATCCCCCCTCCCCTCCCCTCCCCTCCCATCTTCCCTCTCTACCTCCTCTGCTGTTGTTCAGTTCTCTCCCCTTTTTTCCCCCCACCCCCTTTCCCCTCATAACCTCTTATAATTTTGTGTATCACTGAAGGTCTCCTACCATTTCCATGTTTTCCCTTCTCTCTTCCTTTCTCTCCCCCCATTCGTCTTAGTTTACTGGTAGTCTTTTCCTCATGCTCTTCCTTCCTGTTCTATTCTTAGTGGCTCTCTTTATATCAAAGAAGACATTTGACATTTGTTTTTTAGGGCTTGGCTAGCTTCACTTAGCATAATCTGCTCTAATGCCATCCATTTCCCTGCAAATTCTATGATTTTGTCGTTTCTTAGTGCTGCATAATACTCCATTGTTTTTGTGTTTGGCTTTAGCTAGCAGTGCTGCCTCAGTCTTTCCCTTCTGTGGGCCAGTCTCTTGACCTGTACCCGGTAGCTAGATCTGAGCTCCCAACCGATGTGAATGGTCCTCCACATTCTCTCCTCTTTGTAACAACCAAAAAAGCAAGGCATCATTGTCCCCAAGCTACAAATGAGGAAACTGAGCATTGAAAAGGTTAAATTGGCAAGTATCTTTATAGTTTCTTCATCTATAAAAACCAGGGTAATAAAAGTCCCTCATAGTGTTGTGAGGATGAAGTGATATAATATTAAAACTTAGATAAAAGTTTAAAAGTGTCTGGTACATAGTAGGTGTCCAGAGAATGGAAGCTTCTGGGACTTTTGTTTTTTCCTGTAGTAATTATATTAGCCCATCACATGTGCACATTGGGTGCTAGAGCTTAAATTCTTGTATCTCCCTTAATTCATAAGTTGAAATTTAACAAGGTGATGATATTAAGAAAATGGGCCTTTGGGGAGTAATTAAGTCATGAGGGCTTGCCCTCATGAATGGGACTGGGGCCCTCATAAAAAGCCTAAAGCAGCTTATTAGCCCCTTTGTCCATCAGCCATGTGAGGATGCAGTTACAAGGTGCAGGCTGTGAGGCAGAAAGCAAGCCTTTGCTAAACCTTCAGACACCAAATCTTCTGGCTTTGATCTTGAACTTTCTAGCCTTTAGAACTGTGAGAAATAAACTTCCATTATTTATGAATTATCTAGCCTAAGGCATTTTTGTTATAGCAGCCTGAACTAAGTGTAATTAGCAGTACTTTTCAAACTTATGCTTGCTTATGAATCACCTGGGTGGATTAAAAAAAAAAAAAAAGATTCTCAGCCCCTCATCCTCAAGTTTCCTTCCCCAAGAATCTAATTCAGTAGATCTGGGGTAGGCCCTGAGGATTAGCATTAATAATGAGCTATCAAGGAATGCTGATGCTGCATGTCCGTGGACCACACTTTGAATAGAATTCAGTTGCAATGCTTACCTCTCCATCTATTCCCTCACCTACCTTCTACTCCTACTCCCCATGAGGTAGGAGGAATAGTGTCTGTTACTTGAATATTCATGTGAAACCAAGCTCCATTTCCCAAATAGGTGTCTAACTTGAGTCCCTAGCCTGCCAGTCAGCTGTATTCTTGCTGGGTTAGAAAGTCAGCTTTCCCATGACTTGGCAATTGCCTGGGTTTCCTACTAATATTCCTACCTAATCTCATGGAGATTATAAAAGTGATACTATAGTTTGGATACAGACTTGGGCCTGTTGGGTACAAGGTGCTTTTCCATGTATAAGACAGGTTTACATGGCCCCAGGACTCAGCCAAGGACTGTGTAGGCGGTAGACAAAGAGACCTTGAGTTAGTTGAGCTGCTGAGGACTCAGTTCTGTGAAAAGGGGTTTTATATGCCTGCAAAAAGGGAGAATAAGGGTCAGGGCATGTGAGTCGTCTAGAGAATTGCCAAACTAAAGATTGCTGAACTCCCCATAGATTTGTGGGTCAAGTCTGAGACTCAGGAATCAAGAGGATGGGTTACAAGATTCCTATCATTAGATAATAACTTGACACTATGTAAGGTCTGGACTGTTATATTCTGCCCTCAGTGGTTACATTGTGTCTGGCCACAAGGCAGAGGTCCTCCTGACTGTCTTTTGATACTAGCTCTCTCTACCCAGGGACTCTAGACTCAAGTTTCTCTGGGGTCAAGGCATTGGGAAATTGTCAAAAGGGAATGGTGCCCTTCCTGCTACTCTGTGTGCCTGTTTTAAAAGCTCAAACTTATGTATTAAAATTGAAGGATGGTTTTAGGACATGGAGTTTGGCCTGTTGGCTGGTATGAGTCCATTTGTTCATCATCTTATTCTGCTAATGTACTAGGACTCAATAAATATTTGTTGAATGGCTGTTTCATTTTCAATCACTTGGAGAAGTAGAGATCCTACAAAATTCAGAACTCAAAGGTAGGTCTTAGACAGGATGGGACACTCCTGCCATTTTTGACTCACTTGTTTTGATTTGAGACTTCCTGGAATCAAAGTGATCCAGAGGATGATCCCCAGCATTTCAAGTTAAAATGAACCCTGGATTCAGGTAGGTGCCACTAAGAGGACCCCAGGCTGGAACTGAGGAAGATCTACTTTGCATTTCAGTAACCCTTGCACTTACCATTCTCTTTGCTGTTACTCAGAAACCCTGCCTGAAAGCCTGATTTAAACACTGCAGCCTTACATCTACTATGTAGCTGACATTAGGGAATGGTTGCTGAGCTCATCTGGAA